TGGTGGTGGTGATGCTGGCTTGGTGGTGGTGATGCTGGCTTGGTGGTGGTGATGCTGGCGTGGTGGTGGTGATGCTGGCGTGGTGGTGGTGATGCTGGCGTGGGGGTGGTGATTCTGGCTTGGTGGTGGTGATGCTGGCTTGGCTAGTGTCGTCATGGCAACGCTCTGGGTGTCGATGACGTCATCGGCAGCCACATGGCTTACACGTGTGGCTGAGTGGCTTGAGTGGCTGACACCGCCCCGACACGTCTGAGACGACTTTTTGGAACGAATTTTCATATCAAGTTTTTCACGCATAAATTTTTGACCTTTGAACCGATTTGACCTAATTGAAAACGAAGCTATTAATTGACTGAACGTTCTTGGAATATTTATTTTCGTGCGCTGAACGCTAAGTTAGTTGGCGTGAAAGAGGAGCTAAAAATTGGCTTTTGGTGCAATACTGGAAAACGAAGTGGGAGAAAAATTACAAGTCTGTCAATGCTCGAAGGAGAGTGGCTTAGGTGGCTGAGTGGCTTAGGTGGCTGAGTGGCTTATGTGGTTGACCGGCTTAGGTGGTTGAGTGGCTTATGTGGCTGAGTGTCTTATGTGACCGAGTGGTTTATGTGACTCAGTGGCTTATGTGACTCAGTGGCTTATGTGACTCAGTGGCTTATGTGACTCAGTGGCTTATGTGACTCAGTGGCTTATGTGACTCAGTAGCTTATGTGACTCAGTGGCTTAGGTGGTTGATCGGTTTAGTTGGTTGAGCGGCTTAGGTGACTGAGTTGCTTAATTGACTCAGTTGTTTAAGTGCCTATTAAATATAGGTAGATCGTATTATTTAGATCACACAGCACACGCGCTGTATACGTGGTAAATAAGGACCGATGTATTGCCTGTTCAGAACTTGGAGCGTCCGAGGCTGCGTTGCCGGCAGAGGCTGTGACGATGATAACGAGCGAGACGCGTAAACAACTCTTATCTGCACAGCTGCTGTGATGTGCTGTACTGTACTGTGCTGTGCTGTACTGTGCTGTACTGTGTTGTGTTGTGCTGTACTGTGATGTACTGTACTGTACTGTGATGTGCTGTGTTGTGTTGGGTTGGGCTGTACTGTGCTGTGATGTGCTGTGCTGGACTGTACTGTACTGCTGTGATGTGCTGTGCTGTGTTGTGTTGGGCTGTACTGTGCTGTGATGTGCTGTACTGTGCTGTACTGTGTTGTGTTGTGCTGTACTGTG